ATCCCAGATCCGGTAAGAGCTACAATGTGAAGGGCATTATTACATGTAAAACTAAGAATGTTATTTACATTTTAAGATGCCCTTGTGACATGGTGTATGTGGGAAAGACCACACGCAGTTTAAAACAGAGGATCAGTGAGCATAAAAGCTCTATTAGACGTGCCGACCCTAACTACCCTGTGGCCTGTCACTTTACAGAATGTGCTCATTCAGTTTCTTCTCTCCGCTTTCAGGGAATTGAGCAGATTAAATTACCCAGAGGTGGCATTATTGATAAAGTACTATGCCAAAGGGAACTTTACTGGATTCATACTTTGGATGCCTTACATCCTAAAGGTTTAAATGTGGACTTCGACATGAGTGTTATGCTATAGTCACAGCTGTACTGTTTTTTATAAGTCTTGAATACTGCAGTTTATGAAGGTTTTACTTATGTTTTTGCAGTCTCCATGCACTTATGCAGCAAGTATGTATGCATGTATGTATATACACTCACCTAAAGGATTATTAGGAACACCATACTAATACTGTGTTTGACCCCCTTTCACCTTCAGAACTGCCTTAATTCTACGTGGCATTGATTCAACAAGGTGCTGAAAGTATTCTTTAGAAATGTTGGCCCATATTGATAGGATAGCATCTTGCAATTGATGGAGATTTGTGGGATGCACATCCAGGGCACGAAGCTCCCGTTCCACCACATCCCAAAGATCTGGTGACTGTGGAGGCCATTTTAGTACAGTGAACTCATTGTCATGTTCAAGAAACCAATTTGAAATGATTCGAGCTTTGTGACATGGTGCATTATCCTGCTGGAAGTAGCCATCAGAGGATGGGTACATGGTGGCCATAAAGGGATGGACATGGTCAGAAACAATGCTCAAGTAGGCCGTGGCATTTAAACGATGCCCAATTGGCACTAAGGGGCCTAAAGTGTGCCAAGAAAACATCCCCCACACCATTACACCACCACCACCAGCCTGCACAGTGGTAACAAGGCATGATGGATCCATGTTCTCATTCTGTTTACGCCAAATTCTGACTCTACCATCTGAATGTCTCAACAGAAATCGAGACTCATCAGACCAGGCAACATTTTTCCAGTCTTCAACTGTCCAATTTTGGTGAGCTCTTGCATATTGTAGCCTCTTTTTCCTATTTGTAGTGGAGATGAGTGGTACCCGGTGGGGTCTTCTGCTGTTGTAGCCCATCCGCCTCAAGGATGTGTGTGTTGTGGCTTCACAAATGCTTTGCTGCATACCTCGGTTGTAACGAGTGGTTATTTCAGTCAAAGTTGCTCTTCTCTCAGCTTGAATCAGTCGGCGCATTCTCCTCTGACCTCTAGCATCAACAACGCATTTTCGCCCACAGGACTGCCGCATACTGGATGTTTTTCCCTTTTCACACCATTCTTTGTAAACCCTAGAAATGGTTGTGCGTGAAAATCCCAGTAACTGAGCAGATTGTGAAATACTCAGACCGGCCCGTCTGGCACCAACAACCAAGCCACGCTCAAAATTGCTTAAATCACCTTTCTTTCCCATTCTGACATTCAGTTTGGAGTTCAGGAGATTGTCTTGACCAGGACCACACCCCTAAATGCATTGAAGCAACTGCCATGTGATTGGTTGATTAGATAATTGCATTAATGAGAAATTGAACAGGTGTTCCTAATAATCCTTTAGGTGAGTGTATATATATGCGCCTGTATTTTTGTATAATTTTTGTATATGTGTACTTATGTTTGTTTCTTGTATTGGGGATTTTCACTGTGGGGAGTAAATGTGGAAATTACCTAGATAAACTCAGTATATCTGGTAGGTTTAAGAAAAACTACAACTCCCACTATTGGACTACAACTCTCCTACCTGGCTTTCACAGGTGTTGGTAATCACTGTGGATTGTCCTGATGTGTTTGAACACAGTTAAATTGATTGTTACACTTGTTGTCTGTATGCCCTGAGGATGGTCTTTTGACCGAAAGCTTGGTCTATTAAATTTGCTTTAAGGATTTGAGTGTGCGGACAGTTTATTTATTTAGAATATGCAAAATAAAATCAATAAATTAAAAAAAATCTCGCTCAAATGCACACACACACACACACACACACACACACACACACACACACACACACACACAGAGAGAGAGAGATTAACTGGTAAGACTGCAACAGCAAATTTTGAGAATATGCAAAAATAAATAAATAAAAAATACCAATTTATTGCAAAATGTCTGTATAAAGTGTTTTGAATTATCACTAACCATCCCTTATTTTGTTCAATTATTTGAATGATCAAATACTGAGTAACAAAAATGTTTGCATTGTGTTCCCTTTCTAACCAAAGTCTATAGTTTGATTGTAATCATATCATAATGCAAAACCTGATACTTATTCAAAAAGACGACTACTTTATTTTTTTAACAATTTTTTTTTAGATATCTAAATGTATATCTAAATTTTAAAAAAAAAACGAATAAGATAGAGAAATCACGTCTAAAACAACAAAAGGAATCAAAAAGCCTTTCTATGTATTTATATAGGAAGCTATCCACCTTATTCCTGACGACCTTACTGCGTTTTGAATTATGGGTGGCACTTCCGGTTTGGGGAACTTCCATTCAAAAAGGCTGAAACGAATCATTTCAAATCATAAGGTTGCCCTACAAATAAAGCTGATCCGTCAGTTTGACTGGATGAGCTGTCAATTTTCCTTCATGATTTATTTTCAGACATCATGAGAATAACGTTATACTTGGTATTTTAACGTGACATGTTATAACAAGAATATCTATGGCAAGAGCTCTTTTCAGTCGCTGCTTTCTTCTCCTCATGATGATTTTTATTTTTTCCTTTGCAATCCACTGTAAAAGTATGAAAAAAGTAGGCCCTACAACATATACGGCACATTTGTGGTCTGTTCTCCCGAATTTAATTTACGATAATAATTCACTGGAATGCACGAAGAATCTCTCGTTATTCTCCTCAAATCCTCATGTTTCTTTCCAGGTTTGTTTTCACAGGTAAATGCAATTTATAATCTGTCAAAATGACGGAAATCACTTTGATATAGTGTCACGTAATGCTGAAGTTAATGAACATTTTTGATTAAGGCTTGTTATACAATATATTTGCCTACAGTGATATTTAACCAAAGACTCGCGCTTTTGGGGCTATTTTTGGTCTGTTGAAAGTAGGCTACCTTGTTGATTCTTTTAAACTTTTAAATTTCATTTTAATGTTCGATGGTTGAAGGGTGAGTCGATTAATGTCATCTCATTGTGACACTTTTTTAACGTATTGCGTACATAGAGCGAGCCTTTCACTGATTGTTTACAGCTTAACGGAAGTTACACCCATAATTCGCACAAAGCGTCATGGGGCGTAGGAATAAGGTGGATAGGCAGCCTACAGGCTGGTACAGGACATTGCACACATGTAACTATTTTTTAAAGCCACTAGATGGCGCTCTTCTACTTGAATTTTTTTTTTTTAAGGCTGGCACTATATTTTGATGTGAAATGTTGCATTTATTGAAAGAAATTTAATAAATATAAAATAAATATATATATATATATATATTAATTCTAATGGAAAAAATAGCTCATAAAAATTATATAATTAATGCAAAGTATCATAAAAAACTCTAAAAATTCGAAATAATAATTAGAAAATATTATAGAACAAAAATATATTTGAGTGGTTATCCTGGGAAAAAATAAAGTTAAATTTTAAGGCTTCGTCCGTTGCTGACCGGGAGGAAGCTAAGTGTAACCCATTTACGAAGAAGCCCAGAGCAAATAACATGCTTTATTTTCAACACAAAGAATAAATGTGTGTGTTTGTGTAAACATTCTCAGCATTAAATGTGTCTGTTCCTGTGGGTTAACTGCACCATCTCAGAACAGCTGGGTAACACTTTAGAATACGGTTCCTTCGTTAATGAATAACTACACAGGAACAAATGAGTAACACAATATTAACAATCTAGTAACTACTATTAACTAACAAGAAATTCTGATTAACAAATTAGTAAGTAACAGCACACAGATGAAAGTGGTAGTTCACTATTAACTAATCAATAACTACTTCTTTTTAATGCTTCCCAGAGAACTACTGTAATAATCATGCTAACTAACTAGTAATTACTCAAGTGTTACTACTTACTTCTATGGGAATTACTATCTAAAACTTCACCAAAAACCCCAAAAGCTTAAAAGAATTAGTAATTCCTTTAGAAGTATGTAGTAACACTTGAGTAATTACTAGTTAGTTACCGTGATCTTCACTTTAGAATACGGATACAAATAATTAGTCATTCCTTTAGAAGTATGTAGTAACACTTGAGTCATTACTAGTTAGTTAGCATGATTCTTACAGTAGTTCTCTGGGAAGCATTAAAAAAAAGTAGTTATTGATTAGTTAATAGTGAACTACCACTTTCATCTGTGCGCTGTTACTTACTAATTTGTTAATCAGAATTTCTTGTTAGTTAATAGTAGTTACTAGATTGTTAATACTGTGTTACTCATTTGTTCCGGTGTAGTTATTCATTAACGAAGGAACCGTATTCTAAAGTGTTACCAACAGCTGTATTCTGCGTTTTTTGTGCTGGCTACCAAATAGTCAAATAAACTCATCCATATCCAGGGACTTGGCTCTCCGTGACTCTACACTGAGCACTCCCAGGTCACTCAGTCGCTCATCAGACATGGTTGTTCGTAGGTGGTCCTTGATCAGTTTCAGGGTGGAAAAACTCCATTCAGAAGAATTTCAGGTATTGCTTACAGGTATTGCGATGGCAATTTTGCACAACCGGAAATGTTCATGGAACACCTCTTTGAAAGGTTCCAGAAACACTGTGAACTCCAATATGCCGGTGAGGCTTTGCATACCTTCTTTCCTTTCCTCTCCAAAATCATTTTGGCTTGGTGCAGTTCATGCTTCAGATCATCCAAGTTTAACTCGTAGATCTCTGCGAATGAAAAAAGAGGTGACTCTTCGTGAGCTTAGAATTATAAGGTTCTATCTCCACTTTTGGTCGAAATTGAGTTTTTGACATAATCTGATCCATTAGGTGTTTATTAATGCCAGTGTGGTGTTATTTTTGTAAAAAAAAAATATTTTGTTAGTAGTTATTAATAAAATAAAAAGGTTCCATCTCACAAAACATAAACCGAGTTGGGATTATAAGGTTCTATCTCCAGTAGATTCAATATCCAATCAAAACCCTGAATGAACACGGACGGACCAATCAAAACCGACCTCTTAGCTCTGTAGCCTGGACACAGAGCTAAGGACTGGACATTTGAAGCCGGCGATGGCGCCCAAAAGACGCAAATGTACAGACGCCAGCACTAGAAGAGATCGGTAAGTTGAAGCACATATCATTAGCTAGCTAATGTAAACCAGCTTGTTTGCCAAGGTTTGTTTGCGAACGTTAGTATTAGCTTGCTCGAGAACGTTAGCATTAGCATTAGCTTACTAGCTCACCAACAGCTCACTTACAGTTTTGCACCTGTAACGTTAAATCTATGTATGTGACAAATAAACATCCTTGTATCCTTGTAGATGGGCAACTGCAGCTAAGCTAACATAACACCAATTTCTAACTGTACTCCCCTTCCATAAATGCAAGCTGCTAGCTTTTTAAGCTTGCTAGATTATTGGTGTCTGGATAAAAGTTGCCCCATTTATATCAGGATAATAATACTTTTTTTTTTTTTTACAGAAATGATGATAGTGGTGAAAGTCCTCCAAAGGTGGGCGCGGCAAAGAGGACAGCAGATTCTAGTGGTTGGTACTTCTATAGATGGGTGGAATTTCTCTTGTATTTACCGTGGCTTTGTTTGTACAATACCCAAACTATGTTCTCAGTGTCATAAAACAAAATAATAAACTGACACATTATTATAATATTGGATCATGTAATAATAAAGAATATTTAGCTTGTCTTGGCTACTGCTGGGGTTATTTTATTGCAGGTTTGATGGGCAGTGAATGCTCGAGTTGCACAGATGTTTTTAGACACTACTATGTAGGCAAACATACACTAAGAAGTAGGCTACATTAATCTCTAGGCCTATTTGACTGTTTATCCTGTTGAGTCTTTGTAAGGAAAATGATGGTAGTAGTCCTGGACAGTGCCTCAGTGGGTCCCATTGTCTAATATTTATCCATGTTAAGTAGGGCTGCACGATTATGACAATCTTGTTATGAACCACCACAATAATTTAAAAATATACAAAATAACCAATAAGTGGCATTTTGGGGTTATGGAAACAACAATTAGGATACCATGGTGATACACAATACTTAAGAACCGTTAAAGAAACATGGAAACTGCTCCTGATAAATAGAATGAACATCATACCTGCATGCAAAACACGTGACGTACTAATAACGTGATTTATTGGTATTTTACTATTATTTCGTGACTTACAAATTTACGACGTTGCATGCTCGTAATTCTTTTGCGCTTTAGTGAAGTGATACACATCGGCACATTTTCCATGCAATTAAAGATTGCATCCTACGGGCACAGTATGACTGACAGGACATGAAATTTCGTTTTTCTGAGGTGAGAGACTTTTGTTATGAAAATAACGATAAAATAATGACACTGACAACATCTCATTTGACCGCAACTGAATCTGGACAAAGTTTTTTTTTTTTTAAATTTAAAATGTTACGACGTTGCATGTAGTTTCTTTCTCACTTTATATATAGTGAAGCGCTTTGCGATAAAGCGCGCTCCGCCCCATTTGCGCGTGTAATTGAAATGTGCGCGCTACTGCAGTATAGAGGCTGACAGAAGAGGAAAAGTCAGTTTTTCTGAGGTGAGATTTTTTATTTTAGCGTAGGCCTACACTTACGTCTCTGGTAGTTCATATTGTGCTGGGTTCTCTGAAGAAGGTGTGATTCGCCTCTCACAACATAACATGCTCTAAACACACCACCCAGAATAATGTAAGTGGCTTTAATCGCGGCTTTGAACGATTACGTAATCGTGGCATCCAAAATCGTAATTGCGATTAGAAATTTGATTAATTGTGCAGCCCTAATGTTAAGCCAGTACCAGTTAAGCCATGCAGATTGTCCTGGTATAGATGATACTATTCTACAAAATGTATGTCTCACCATTAGTTACTTTCCTGTAAATTATATTATGATGCTCAGCTGTATTACTTTTTGTAGCCATGCCAGGAGAGGCAGAGACACCCAGAGCAGCAGTGAGAAGGACAGTAGCAGAGACAGTAGCAGAGACACCTAGAGCAGCAGTGAGAGGGACAGTAGCAGAGACAGTAGCAGAGACACCCAGAGCAGCAGTGAGAGGGACAGTAGCAGAGACACCCAGAGCAGCAGTGAGAGGGACAGTAGCAGAGACACCCAAAGCAGCAGTGAGAGGGAGAGTAGCAGAGACACCCAGAGCAGCAGTGAGAGGGACAGTAGCAGAGACACCCAGAGCAGCAGTGAGAGGGACAGTAGCAGAGACACCCAGAGCAGCAGTGAGAGGGACCGTAGCAGAGACACCCAGAGCAGCAGTGAGAGGGACAGTAGCAGAGACACCCAGAGCAGCAGTGAGAGGGACCGTAGCAGAGACACCCAGAGCAGCAGTGAGAGGGACAGTAGCAGAGACACCCAGAGCAGCAGTGAGAGGGACAGTAGCAGAGACACCCAGAGCAGCAGTGAGAGGGACAGTAGCAGAGACACCCAGAGCAGCAGTGAGAGGGACCGTAGCAGAGACACCCAGAGCAGCAGTGAGAGGGACAGTAGCAGAGACACCCAGAGCAGCAGTGAGAGGGACAGTAGCAGAGACACCCAGAGCAGCAGTGAGAGGGACAGTAGCAGAGACAGTAGCAGAGACACCCAGAGCAGCAGTGAGAGGGACAGTAGCAGAGACAGTAGCAGAGACACCCAGAGCAGCAGTGAGAGGGACAGTAGCAGAGACACCCAGAGCAGCAGTGAGAGGGACAGTAGCAGAGACACCCAGAGCAGCAGTGAGAGGGACAGTAGCAGAGACAGTAGCAGAGACACCCAGAGCAGCAGTGAGAGGGACAGTAGCAGAGACACCCAGAGCAGCAGTGAGAGGGACAGTAGCAGAGACACCCAGAGCAGCAGTGAGAGGGACAGTAGCAGAGACACCCAGAGCAGCAGTGAGAGGGACAGTAGCAGAGACACCCAGAGCAGCAGTGAGAGGGACAGTAGCAGAGACAGTAGCAGAGACACCCAGAGCAGCAGTGAGAGGGACAGTAGCAGAGACAGTAGCAGAGACACCCAGAGCAGCAGTGAGAGGGACAGTAGCAGAGACACCCAGAGCAGCAGTGAGAGGGACAGTAGCAGAGACACCCAGAGCAGCAGTGAGAGGGACAGTAGCAGAGACACCCAGAGCAGCAGTGAGAGGGACAGTAGCAGAGACACCCAGAGCAGCAGTGAGAGGGACAGTAGCAGAGACACCCAGAGCAGCAGTGAGAGGGACAGTAGCAGAGACAGTAGCAGAGACACCCAGAGCAGCAGTGAGAGGGACAGTAGCAGAGACAGTAGCAGAGACACCCAGAGCAGCAGTGAGAGGGACAGTAGCAGAGACACCCAGAGCAGCAGTGAGAGGGACAGTAGCAGAGACACCCAGAGCAGCAGTGAGAGGGACAGTAGCAGAGACACCCAGAGCAGCAGTGAGAGGGACAGTAGCAGAGACACCCAGAGCAGCAGTGAGAGGGACAGTAGCAGAGACACCCAGAGCAGCAGTGAGAGGGACAGTAGCAGAGACACCCAGAGCAGCAGTGAGAGGGACAGTAGCAGAGACACCCAGAGCAGCAGTGAGAGGGACCGTAGCAGAGACACCCAAAGCAGCAGTGAGAGGGACAGTAGCAGAGACACCCAGAGCAGCAGTGAGAGGGACAGTAGCAGAGACACCCAGAGCAGCAGTGAGAGGGAGAGTAGCAGAGACACCCAGAGCAGCAGTGAGAGGGACAGTAGCAGAGACACCCAGAGCAGCAGTGAGAGGGACAGTAGCAGAGACACCCAGAGCAGCAGTGAGAGGGACAGTAGCAGAGACGGTAGCAGAGACACCCAGAGCAGCAGTGAGAGGGACAGTAGCAGAGACACCCAGAGCAGCAGTGAGAGGGACCGTAGCAGAGACACCCAGAGCAGCAGTGAGAGGGACAGTAGCAGAGACACCCAGAGCAGCAGTGAGAGGGACAGTAGCAGAGACACCCAGAGCAGCAGTGAGAGGGACAGTAGCAGAGACACCCAGAGCAGCAGTGAGAGGGACAGTAGCAGAGACAGTAGCAGAGACACCCAAAGCAGCAGTGAGAGGGAGAGTAGCAGAGACACCCAGAGCAGCAGTGAGAGGGACAGTAGCAGAGACACCCAGAGCAGCAGTGAGAGGGACAGTAGCAGAGACACCCAGAGCAGCAGTGAGAGGGACAGTAGCAGAGACACCCAGAGCAGCAGTGAGAGGGACCGTAGCAGAGACACCCAGAGCAGCAGTGAGAGGGACAGTAGCAGAGACACCCAGAGCAGCAGTGAGAGGGACAGTAGCAGAGACACCCAGAGCAGCAGTGAGAGGGACAGTAGCAGAGACACCCAGAGCAGCAGTGAGAGGGACAGTAGCAGAGACAGTAGCAGAGACACCCAGAGCAGCAGTGAGAGGGACAGTAGCAGAGACACCCAGAGCAGCAGTGAGAGGGACAGTAGCAGAGACACCCAGAGCAGCAGTGAAAGGGACAGTAGCAGAGACACCCAGAGCAGCAGTGAGAGGGACAGTAGCAGAGACACCCAGAGCAGCAGTGAGAGGGACAGTAGCAGAGACACCCAGAGCAGCAGTGAGAGGGACAGTAGCAGAGACACCCAGAGCAGCAGTGAGAGGGACAGTAGCAGAGACACCCAGAGCAGCAGTGAGAGGGACCGTAGCAGAGACACCCAGAGCAGCAGTGAGAGGGACAGTAGCAGAGACACCCAGAGCAGCAGTGAGAGGGACAGTAGCAGAGACACCCAGAGCAGCAGTGAGAGGGACAGTAGCAGAGACACCCAGAGCAGCAGTGAGAGGGACAGTAGCAGAGACACCCAGAGCAGCAGTGAGAGGGACAGTAGCAGAGACACCCAGAGCAGCAGTGAGAGGGACAGTAGCAGAGACAGTAGCAGAGACACCCAGAGCAGCAGTGAGAGGGACAGTAGCAGAGACACCCAGAGCAGCAGTAAGAGGGACAGTAGCAGAGACACCCAGAGCAGCAGTGAGAGGGACAGTAGCAGAGACACCCAAAGCAGCAGTGAGAGGGACAGTAGCAGAGACACCCAGAGCAGCAGTGAGAGGGACAGTAGCAGAGACACTAGCAGAGACACCCAGAGCAGTAGTGAGAGGGACAGTAGCAGAGACACCAGCAGTAGGGTTACAGCAGAGACCAGAGCAAGGGAAGAGTCGGAAAAGGGTTAGCACTCCATCATCATGGAAGTCAGTATGCAGAAAGAGGCTTTATCAAGAGGGTAAAGAACCAGCCAAACAGATAAAAACATTTAAGGACTGCACCGTGTCCTGTAAATTTAACTGTGCCAGGAAAATCACTTATGGTGAGAGGAAGAGGTGTTTTGAAGGGTACTACAGGCTGAATCAGGACAGGAAATATGACTACATTATGATGACAACTGAGTGCCATGTCAAAGAGAGACAACGTGGTGGTGGCGACGACTCACGTCGTACACACTCATTCAAATATTTTCATGATATAGGAGAGGGACAGAAAGTCAGAGTATGCAAGCCTTTTTTTCTAGGTACTCTTTCAATACGTCAGAAAACTGTATAATGTACACCAAAAGAAATGCCAGACTAGCATACCAAAGTCAGATGCACGGGGAAAGCATCCAAAAAAACGCATAGATGAGGACAAAAAAGAGAAGGTGCTGGAGCACATTAGGTCTTTCCCGGTCGTCGAGTCACACTACTGTCGTCCCCGCACCC